AGCCACACAAACACAAATAGACACATACTTCCATCCAATTACACTATATGTGCCCCCCAGCCGATTAGTAAATTGGGAGTGATCAAAGAGGAATTGACAAAGTGTGACGTGACGAAGTGTCCTACTCACCTGAACCGCGTCAAAGTGTTTGGATGCGAAGCAGATGTTGACTTCACGGCGCCTAGTCGACACGGTTGGTGGACTGGCGGCCCCGAGCACGGGGCTCTGGGACTGGGTCGCTTGAGTCTCGTTGGTAGCTTCGGGACCCCTGTCGCTCAGCCACTCCGTTCCAGCCGGCCATGATCCAGCATCATCTTCCACCGGCAGAGAGAAGCACACTCGAAACCGGTGCATGTCGACTGGAAACTGGCCACGGCCGATATCGCCCACCTCTTCGTCAATCGACGTTAGCAGGCCTGCACCACAGTCCGCTGTCGCTGGTGTCGTCGTTGTTGGTGTCGTCGTTGTTGTCGTCGCCGTATTCGGAGGCATCGTCGTCGTCATTCGATGGAAGGTGGCTGACACTGGGGATGATCTGCGCAACAGTTTCGTCTGAGGGTTAGAACAAATAAACCACCAATACAGAACACGAAAAGGCTTGCCCATTCGGTCTACTGTCCGAGAACCTCTTTCAACCCGGAAATGATCACAATTCGGAACTTGGTGCAGGGAGTCCAGCGTGTGAATGATGAAGCCCTACGTCAGAGGGGCGAACAGACATCATATTTACGGTGTGGACAGGTTAGTTTCTAACAAGTTCAGTTGATACTAGTTAAATTAATAACAGTAGTATGACTGGGTTTATTTATTCGATTATACTTCTATATTCATCCTCGGTTGCATAATGTGAAGAAGCTCGTTCTTTTCCACAGTGAGACACACAAGCCTGAAGATTTCATTGGATTTGATCTAGCAATGACTCCTAAAAGAATTCTTATCCAGACTGGAGGAGATTGCCATTTCAGCCTCTCCTGCATTTTATCAGCACCTCCAACGGGATTAAAATCCGTGTTTTATGGGGCAAATTTTCGTAATCTTGACATGATGCTTTACAGGATGGAGTTTTAGGAATAAAATTATAATTTTTTCATTAAACACAACAAGGCAACTTATGCTCGCAGTTAGTTGGTTTCGATACTTGAATGAGAACTGTAAATAGTCTAGGCTGCATAGAATAGTCAAAGAGTAAAGTTGCATTTTCCCACAAACGGATGAGTAGGCCACAAGATGCCATTAAATATCACAATTGGTCTTGCTTCTCCAAGGTCTTTGCATCCATGATGGACTGTAATGGATTGCATTTTCGATCTTGCCTCATCCTCTCATCATCCTCCTCACCAACGGGATTCGATACTGGGTCGGGAGTATCTTGGCCGAGTTATCATTCTAGTACACAACTGCTGATGCCAGGAGGTCGTTGCGAAACTGTGCAACTTAAGGCAAACTAGGCCTCAACAAACTCATAATTATCATGTGTATGATTAATCTAGAGACTTTCACCCATTATAGCTCGTCGTAAAGGTCATTTAAGGACCGTAATCTGAGAGTTTCTCGACATTTGATTCCATTTTTTCTTGAATACCACAAGGTTTTCTCATCTTGAATGCCTTAAACTGCAGTTTCTACCCTAACGAAGCACCATCGTCAACTCAAAGTGAATTAAATACCGGGAATTTTGTAAAGGTATGGTCTTCCTTAAAGGTCATCGCTGGACTGTTGCCCCCTAACCCTCGAACAGTTCGGCACTTTACACGATTTCCACCCGGTTTCCCCTCCCTTTGGGGATACTGGTGAGAACGAGACTGGGCAGATTCGAAGCTGTCATTCCGTCCATTTGAAAGACGAGATTCAGAAGTCACCATGACAATATCTCCGTTACTACCCGGCCCGAATAAATCGATTCGACTAGACTGTATTGTTAAGTATGGGCTATCCATAATAAATGCAGGCTTTGTATTTCCTCCGATTTAGGTCGAGTTAAAGGATGAATAATTGATCAAAAAGATGTCCGAAAAGGCGAAGATAGCAAAGACGATAGGTAAAGTAAGAGGAACAATCTTGCGAAGAAAGGTTGGGTTTCGAGTAATCTCTTATTTCATAATTGTTGTGCTTACTTCCATTTCGAGTAAAAGTGTTTGGCGAAGAGATTCGAAGGTTGATTCTACCAGAACACGACGGTGGATTCCTGTTGACCAGCTGTCGTTTGGCTTTACTGGAACGTTCATGCTGACGCTGTTTCCGAGGCAATCTCCTTCGATTCCGGAGAAAGGGTGCTAAGCTTTGCTGCATCATATGACGAACATCATCAGAACAAGGCATCATCGTCACAACAAAATTCAAGCTAACGAGTCAAGAACACATACAGGCACATAAACATACAGATACATACACAATTGCATGCTTCGAGGTTGGTATATAATTGGAACTAACCAAATCATTTTATACATCATCAAAGAGATCAGATACAGCTTTTTTAGGGATAAGCCGGTAAATGTTCTTGACTCGCAGGAGATTACCTCGGAAATAACGTCAACATGAATGTTTCGGTAAAGCCAATCGACAGCTGGTCAAAAGGAACCCGCCGTCGGTTTCTGATGGAATCGTACTCGGAATCTCTTCACCAAACACTTTCACTCAAAATGCAAGTAAGCACAACAATTGGGAACAATCCTGCCCAAGCTCTGTAGACTCCTTGGCCGGACTGATGTCAAACTCTCGAGCCACGGGTTCGAACCAATCACGTCAAGCCTCGAGCTTTGGACCCTTATTCGGGTTGTGCAAATTCAAGGTAGTCCTAATTTGGCGTCTAGTGAGGTCAATTAACGAAGAACTTGCTGTCACATCTTCAAACGAAATGAAGAGCCATGCCAAAATGACCCCTAGTCTGTCATGGCGACCACAACTTCAAAGACCAAAATAATAACAACTCTCACAACAATTTTTAGCCGGCATAGAGTCAAGGATCTAACATACATACGCTACTTACTAATAAAAAGAGAATTTAGTGAGTTAAAGCCGAATCTCATTCATACAAATCTAAAGACCGACCGGATATTCTTTATATACAGTACATAGCCATGAAAAAAGATAGTATATAAATAGGAAGATAATAATATTCAAATAACATAAGATATAATAATAAATTAGTTATACTTTTATATAATTAAGAGATATAATTCGTCACCCTGACCCTTCGTCTGTCATGGGGAACATATGATCAAGGGTCGAAATTATAAAATCTCGCATAACAATGCTTAACTAAGGAGATAAAGGCTAATCGAATCTGCCTATATACGATACTTTATCTAAAAATATGAATGAATGAGTTCGAGTGCAATCTCCTTCCTATTAAAACTCAAAAGAGATAGGATCTTCTTTACATGCCTTACATATTCACAGCAACAACTATAAGAATGAATAAGGTGATGTGAAGATATAAGTTGTCAGTTCGTTTTCGTCCAAACATGACCCTTCGTCTCTAATATGACATATCATCAGAGCTAGACATCGTAAAAACTCGTACAACAATGCTTAACCGCACCTAACCGACTAATGCATAAATACTATGCTAGCTCCGAAAAATGGAATTTTAAGAGTTACAACCGAAACTCGTTCCTACATAACTCACAACTGACTGGATCTTTTTTATACACAGTATGTGCCCACAACAACAGATCAAACAATGAACAAGATGATATGAAGATATAATTCGCCAATTCTTTTTTAAAGCATTCTAAATATTTGTACGTTTGAATATATATATATATATATATATATGTGTGTGTATGTGTGTGTCTATGTATGTGTGCATCGGTGTGTATATGTGTATATATATGTGTGCGTGTGTGCGCGTGTGTATAGAAGGGGTGTATTGTTGCCTATGAATGAGTACGGGTGCAAATTCACGAAAGGAAGTGTCGATTGGCTATCCTAACTCGGTAGTGGTTAGTACGTGTTATCTTATTGGTCGAATTTCATGAGAATTTCTAAACTATAAAAAATCTTGTAGGTCGGTCTGATCAGATGACGACTGTCTTCCTTTTCTTTTATGCCATTTACTATTACTTCCACGTTCAGGTTGACGCAATCTACAAGACAGCCTCCTTCGGTTCCGGTAAAAGAGCTTAATTTTTGTTTACCATATCACCTTATGGACATCATCAAATTGGACCTCATTAAAACAAGGTCTAAGACTTAACATCAAGTCAAGAAGACAAATCAGTAGTACTTTACATGACATGCATATTCACAACCTCAACTATAAAGGAACCGAAAATATTTAGATAGGTATAGAATGATAGGGTTAATTCATTTTCACCTTAGGTACTTATGTGCTTCAGTGTTGGTGCAGTCAGATATATATATATTTTTTTATTTAAATATATAGAAAGATGAGAAATATAAGTATCAAAATCTCTCTATATATAGAGAGAGAGATCCGATGGACGGATCTTGGTAAATTCCCATATCGGAAGACCATCCAGGTCTTCATATTTTCAATTAGTGCTATTATTTAATTATGGGAGACTTC